AATAGAATAGTGATGGTGTAAGATAGATGTAATAGAAGAGATATTAGCTGAAGTAAGATTAAAGTAAAGAATGTGATAAAAACAGAGAAAAAGATTATAGAAAAGAGATTTAAGCATCAACATTTTACTTAAGTGAATATGAGAAAGATACAATAAAAAAGAGATATAAAAAAGTTAAGTATTCTTTACTAAAACCATCTATTCCTTCGGTCAATATACTGCATCTCACTGCAGTATGCACCAAAAGGTTTGTTTAAGGTGTGAGTAGAGAAAAAAAGTTCATAAAAGTTTTCCCCGTTCAGTTCAGATTTTGTAAACAATGTTTGGAGCTACAGCAGTTCGGCAGAAGAGAGAAAGGGAGCGAAGGGAGCGGGAAGCAAACGAAGGTTCAGATGGTTCAGGGAGCTAAATATATCTTAAAATAATATTGAACCAAACCATAATCTGAACTATAGAGTCTTTATCTTACTCTTGACCTGAACCTGAACGAGGGAGGTATTGCTGCTCTCTGGGTTTTGAAATTGCTCCCAGGGTTTTGGAGTGCTCCCATGATTTTGGAGTTGCTCCCATTGTTTTGGAGTAAAATGTAAAAATTCATTAAACCTTTTATGAAAAGTCCTTTAAAAAGGGTACTTTATAACCGAAAATTGAAAAAAGGCCTCTGCTACCCCTTTTTTACTGTCTTTGTTAAGATATTTGCAGGGGAAAAAATAAACAATTTTCAGTCCAAGTTATATCCTGTGGCGATTATTATTATGATTTATTTGTCTAACACATAAAATTGGTTCAGATATTAGATTAGAACTATAATTCAATTTATACATAGGTTTCCAACTACCGACTTTAATTCTTCTCTAATGTCGTCTTCTTCAAAGTACCGAAGCTGTAACAGGAGATGCTGCAGACATTCGATATTGTCTTCTTCTTGAATGGTGAGCGGTCCACATTTAGTTTTGATTCGGCAAACTGACGACATTTGTTTTAGCTTATACATTAAAGATTATTGGTAAATGCAGAAAATTTTTTTTTTAGCTAGGCAAATAAAGGTTTCATTTGAGATGATCTAATACATCTCAACATCTTTAAAAGATATCTTATTCACAATTTTTTTCTTTAGAAAAATTAAATTTTTCGCCAAAAAGTTGCGATTGTTTTTTCTGCAAATATCCTGCAGCCACCCCTCCTTCCCCAAACCTAGGCCTGAACCGGAGCCTTAACCTGAAACTGCACCTGAACCTGAACCTGAACCTGAACCTAAACCTGAAGATGACCCTAAACCTAAACTTTAACATGAATCTGAACCTGAACCTGAACCTGCACATAAATCGGAACTTAAACCTTAACCAAAACCTAAACCTGAACCTGAACCTGAACATGAACCTGAACGTGAACCTGAACCTGAACCTGAACCTGAACCTGAACCTGAACCTGAACCTGAACCTGAAC